TTCATATAAACATAAATTTACATGAAAATGCATGCCATTTTTACAGTCACGATCAAGAATGATACAATGTCAAATAGTAGATTGTCTACAAGTTAGTAATGTTTGAACAGCTAAATATTTGATAATAATATAATAATATATATTTTCCTATCAATGTAGGACACACCAGTTGTACAGGCATGGATAAGTATTATTTAAATTACATGAATTTGATTTATAGTGAAATTACATGGTTGCTGTCCTCTCTGATATCAGTTAGTGAGCACATTCTGATAGTTAGTCGTTCAATGGAGCACATAAAGAAATATAGAAATATTGTCTTCGCATTAACAAAAAAAACCCAAGTACGTGTCGGATAAATTACGAATATTTGGGAAAAAAATAAAGCTTGAAGTCAATTCCTCCATATAACTTTGTTGTGTGCGGCATCGTATCTTGTTTTATGTTCAAATTGTGTATTAATTTAAAATGAGTGATTTATTTTTATGATTTTGACATCACTTAAATTGCGAGTAATACCAAATGTGAATTCAACTGAATGTAGATTAATATTGGTCATTGTCAAGCAGATTTGTTTCACTGCACTCAAGTCACCCATAGCCCGCCATTTGTCACAGCATGATTGCTCCGTACGAGTAAGTTGATTAACACGTAGAAAGCTATATAAAAACCATTTTAGATCGTTGACAGTGCTTGTATAAGATGCTGTACAGCGTCTTGTTATGGTGACAGTGGATTTCATCAAGGATGCTGAGCCATTACTAGCCAAACCTTGAGGGATGATATATGAGTAAGTGACTTCAATTGTTTCTCAGCTTCATTCGGAATGTAGATCAATGCAACTTGTACTACAAAGTAAATACAACAGAAATGTACCAGAGGACAAAGAAAAACCAGGTCGAGTCTAAAACATTTGATTATATTCGTTGTAAATTGTAATTTGATGAACAAAAATTTGTTTCTACTATGTCGTTTTATGCATTTATGCTACTAGTTTATTTATAGTCTTTAGGGAAGTAAGGGTATTTAAGCGCGTTTAGGTACTGTAGTAGACTAATAGTTGATTCGTTCTAGGAATAAATAGTTTATTTATATAGTCGGTAGAGTGAAATAGTCTTTTTATGCATTTATGCTACTAGTTTATTTATAGTCTTTAGGGAAGTAAGGGTATTTAAGCGCGTTTAGGTACTGTAGTAGACTAATAGTTGATTCGTTCTAGGAATAAATAGTTTATTTATATAGTCGGTAGAGTGAAATAGTCTTTCTATGCATTTATGCTACTAGTTTATTTATAGTCTTTAGGGAAGTAAGGGTATTTAAGCGCGTTTAGGTACTGTAGTAGACTAATAGTTGATTCGTTCTAGGAATAAATAGTTTATTTATATAGTCGGTAGAGTGAAATAGTCTTTCTATGCATTTATGCTACTAGTTTATTTATAGTCTTTAGGGAAGTAAGGGTATTTAAGCGCGTTTAGGTACTGTAGTAGACTAATAGTTGATTCGTTCTAGGAATAAATAGTTTATTTATATAGTCGGTAGAGTGAAATAGTCTTTTTATGCATTTATGCTACTAGTTTATTTATAGTCTTTAGGGAAGTAAGGGTATTTAAGCGCGTTTAGGTACTGTAGTAGACTAATAGTTGATTCGTTCTAGGAATAAATAGTTTATTTATATAGTCGGTAGAGTGAAATAGTCTTTTTATGCATTTATGCTACTAGTTTATTTATAGTCTTTAGGGAAGTAAGGGTATTTAAGCGCGTTTAGGTACTGTAGTAGACTAATAGTTGATTCGTTCTAGGAATAAATAGTTTATTTATATAGTCGGTAGAGTGAAATAGTCTTTTTATGCATTTATGCTACTAGTTTATTTATAGTCTTTAGGGAAGTAAGGGTATTTAAGCGCGTTTAGGTACTGTAGTAGACTAATAGTTGATTCGTTCTAGGAATAAATAGTTTATTTATATAGTCGGTAGAGTGAAATAGTCTTTTTATGCATTTATGCTACTAGTTTATTTATAGTCTTTAGGGAAGTAAGGGTATTTAAGCGCGTTTAGGTACTGTAGTAGACTAATAGTTGATTCGTTCTAGGAATAAATAGTTTATTTATATAGTCGGTAGAGTGAAATAGTCTTTTTATGCATTTATGCTACTAGTTTATTTATAGTCTTTAGGGAAGTAAGGGTATTTAAGCGCGTTTAGGTACTGTAGTAGACTAATAGTTGATTCGTTCTAGGAATAAATAGTTTATTTATATAGTCGGTAGAGTGAAATAGTCTTTTTATGCATTTATGCTACTAGTTTATTTATAGTCTTTAGGGAAGTAAGGGTATTTAAGCGCGTTTAGGTACTGTAGTAGACTAATAGTTGATTCGTTCTAGGAATAAATAGTTTATTTATATAGTCGGTAGAGTGAAATAGTCTTTTTATGCATTTATGCTACTAGTTTATTTATAGTCTTTAGGGAAGTAAGGGTATTTAAGCGCGTTTAGGTACTGTAGTAGACTAATAGTTGATTCGTTCTAGGAATAAATAGTTTATTTATATAGTCGGTAGAGTGAAATAGTCTTTTTATGCATTTATGCTACTAGTTTATTTATAGTCTTTAGGGAAGTAAGGGTATTTAAGCGCGTTTAGGTACTGTAGTAGACTAATAGTTGATTCGTTCTAGGAATAAATAGTTTATTTATATAGTCGGTAGAGTGAAATAGTCTTTTTATGCATTTATGCTACTAGTTTATTTATAGTCTTTAGGGAAGTAAGGGTATTTAAGCGCGTTTAGGTACTGTAGTAGACTAATAGTTGATTCGTTCTAGGAATAAATAGTTTATTTATATAGTCGGTAGAGTGAAATAGTCTTTTTATGCATTTATGCTACTAGTTTATTTATAGTCTTTAGGGAAGTAAGGGTATTTAAGCGCGTTTAGGTACTGTAGTAGACTAATAGTTGATTCGTTCTAGGAATAAATAGTTTATTTATATAGTCGGTAGAGTGAAATAGTCTTTTTATGCATTTATGCTACTAGTTTATTTATAGTCTTTAGGGAAGTAAGGGTATTTAAGCGCGTTTAGGTACTGTAGTAGACTAATAGTTGATTCGTTCTAGGAATAAATAGTTTATTTATATAGTCGGTAGAGTGAAATAGTCTTTTTATGCATTTATGCTACTAGTTTATTTATAGTCTTTAGGGAAGTAAGGGTATTTAAGCGCGTTTAGGTACTGTAGTAGACTAATAGTTGATTCGTTCTAGGAATAAATAGTTTATTTATATAGTCGGTAGAGTGAAATAGTCTTTTTATGCATTTATGCTACTAGTTTATTTATAGTCTTTAGGGAAGTAAGGGTATTTAAGCGCGTTTAGGTACTGTAGTAGACTAATAGTTGATTCGTTCTAGGAATAAATAGTTTATTTATATAGTCGGTAGAGTGAAATAGTCTTTTTATGCATTTATGCTACTAGTTTATTTATAGTCTTTAGGGAAGTAAGGGTATTTAAGCGCGTTTAGGTACTGTAGTAGACTAATAGTTGATTCGTTCTAGGAATAAATAGTTTATTTATATAGTCGGTAGAGTGAAATAGTCTTTTTATGCATTTATGCTACTAGTTTATTTATAGTCTTTAGGGAAGTAAGGGTATTTAAGCGCGTTTAGGTACTGTAGTAGACTAATAGTTGATTCGTTCTAGGGATAAATAGTTTATTTATATAGTCGGTAGAGTGAAATAGTCTTTTTATGCATTTATGCTACTAGTTTATTTATAGTCTTTAGGGAAGTAAGGGTATTTAAGCGCGTTTAGGTACTGTAGTAGACTAATAGTTGATTCGTTCTAGGGATAAATAGTTTATTTATATAGTCGGTAGAGTGAAATAGTCTTTTTATGCATTTATGCTACTAGTTTATTTATAGTCTTTAGGGAAGTAAGGGTATTTAAGCGCGTTTAGGTACTGTAGTAGACTAATAGTTGATTCGTTCTAGGGATAAATAGTTTATTTATATAGTCGGTAGAGTGAAATAGTCTTTTTATGCATTTATGCTACTAGTTTATTTATAGTCTTTAGGGAAGTAAGGGTATTTAAGCGCGTTTAGGTACTGTAGTAGACTAATAGTTGATTCGTTCTAGGAATAAATAGTTTATTTATATAGTCGGTAGAGTGAAATAGTCTTTTTATGCATTTATGCTACTAGTTTATTTATAGTCTTTAGGGAAGTAAGGGTATTTAAGCGCGTTTAGGTACTGTAGTAGACTAATAGTTGATTCGTTCTAGGAATAAATAGTTTATTTATATAGTCGGTAGAGTGAAATAGTCTTTTTATGCATTTATGCTACTAGTTTATTTATAGTCTTTAGGGAAGTAAGGGTATTTAAGCGCGTTTAGGTACTGTAGTAGACTAATAGTTGATTCGTTCTAGGAATAAATAGTTTATTTATATAGTCGGTAGAGTGAAATAGTCTTTTTATGCATTTATGCTACTAGTTTATTTATAGTCTTTAGGGAAGTAAGGGTATTTAAGCGCGTTTAGGTACTGTAGTAGACTAATAGTTGATTCGTTCTAGGAATAAATAGTTTATTTATATAGTCGGTAGAGTGAAATAGTCTTTTTATGCATTTATGCTACTAGTTTATTTATAGTCTTTAGGGAAGTAAGGGTATTTAAGCGCGTTTAGGTACTGTAGTAGACTAATAGTTGATTCGTTCTAGGGATAAATAGTTTATTTATATAGTCGGTAGAGTGAAATAGTCTTTTTATGCATTTATGCTACTAGTTTATTTATAGTCTTTAGGGAAGTAAGGGTATTTAAGCGCGTTTAGGTACTGTAGTAGACTAATAGTTGATTCGTTCTAGGGATAAATAGTTTATTTATATAGTCGGTAGAGTGAAATAGTCTTTTTATGCATTTATGCTACTAGTTTATTTATAGTCTTTAGGGAAGTAAGGGTATTTAAGCGCGTTTAGGTACTGTAGTAGACTAATAGTTGATTCGTTCTAGGAATAAATAGTTTATTTATATAGTCGGTAGAGTGAAATAGTCTTTTTATGCATTTATGCTACTAGTTTATTTATAGTCTTTAGGGAAGTAAGGGTATTTAAGCGCGTTTAGGTACTGTAGTAGACTAATAGTTGATTCGTTCTAGGGATAAATAGTTTATTTATATAGTCGGTAGAGTGAAATAGTCTTTTTATGCATTTATGCTACTAGTTTATTTATAGTCTTTAGGGAAGTAAGGGTATTTAAGCGCGTTTAGGTACTGTAGTAGACTAATAGTTGATTCGTTCTAGGAATAAATAGTTTATTTATATAGTCGGTAGAGTGAAATAGTCTTTTTATGCATTTATGCTACTAGTTTATTTATAGTCTTTAGGGAAGTAAGGGTATTTAAGCGCGTTTAGGTACTGTAGTAGACTAATAGTTGATTCGTTCTAGGGATAAATAGTTTATTTATATAGTCGGTAGAGTGAAATAGTCTTTTTATGCATTTATGCTACTAGTTTATTTATAGTCTTTAGGGAAGTAAGGGTATTTAAGCGCGTTTAGGTACTGTAGTAGACTAATAGTTGATTCGTTCTAGGAATAAATAGTTTATTTATATAGTCAGTAGAGTGAAATAGTGTGTACAGAGAGCGTTTGAAACTTAAAACTGTATTACAGTTCCTGATATCTAGGGGCAGATTGTTCCATATTTTAGAATACATGACTGTGAAGAAGTTTTCGCGGAGTGTTGACTTAAAGGCTTTTATTGTCACTGTGCAATTTTGGTTACGCAGATCGTAAGAGCCTTCTTGCGCGAATTGTATGTCCTTAATGTCTGAGAATGATATTTTGTGTAGGACCTTATAGAAGAATACTAGGTTTATAATTAGTCGTCTTGTCCAGAGTGGGTCAAGTTGTAGAATCTTGCAACGTGAGATGTAGTCTTTCTTACATTCGTAGCCTAGTAGTTTCGAGGTAAAATATCGTTGGATACTTTCAATTCTTAGCTTTTCACGTGTGTGAGTGCTGCTAATAATAAATGGACAGTATTCTAGTAGTGGCCTCACACAGGTTTTGTACAGAATGAGCTTTGCTTCATTGTCGTGAAAGTTCCTTAGTATGCATCCTAAGAGCATCCTCGACTTTTGAGTCTGTGATGCCACTTGCTCAGAGAATGTTAGGTTACTCGAGTACCTCAGACCTAGGTCAACGACACTTTGGAGTTTCGTTAGGTTAGCCGATTGAAGCGTTAACTTTATGTCGATTGAGGGTGCACCGAAGCAGATCCAGCCACATTTTTTAAGGTTAAATTGGAGGTTCCATAAAGACGACCAAGCAGTCACTTTATCTAGTTCTTCTTGTACAACATTCTGGAAGTACCCTAGGTCATCAGGTTGGAATGTATAAGCTACTTTGAGGTCATCTGCAAAGATGAATGGTTTACCATGAGTAAAGCAAGCGCATATGTCGTTAATATATAGGGTAAATAGAAGGGGTCCAATGACACTACCTTGTACTACACCAGAGGTGATTTGGCTAGGTTTCGAAGTTATAGATCCGAGTTTAACTATTTGGGACCTATTGTTAAGGAATGATTTAAGCCATCCTAATAGCGGGTCACTTATTCCTAAGGATTTCAGCTTGTGCACTAGTAGTAAATGGTCGACACGGTCAAATGCCTTTGAGATGTCAAAGTAGATGACAAGTACTAGTTGTCGTCTGTCACGACTGCTGGTCACAAAGTTAAAGAAGTCTAAGTGGCATGTTAAACAAGATCTGGATTTTAGGAATCCATGTTGGTTCGGGCTTATAATATTGCAACTAAGCATATGCTTCATTAGGTTTTCTTTAACTAGTCTCTCCATAATTCTAGAAGCTATAGGTGTGATATTAATTGGCCTGTAGTTACTGACGTCTGTTTTCGAGCCAGATTTGTGTTTAGGCATAATAAACGTTGTTTTCCATACATCAGGGTAAGTTTGGGTTTCTAAGGACATTGTGAATATTTTAAGCAGGAGTAAGGGAATGTCAGGGCCACCATATTTATAAAAATAGGATGATATGCCGTCAGTACCGAAACCTTTTGAGCATTTTAGGGTTCTTATAGTTTGTTTAATGTTAGTATAGTTAAATTCAATAGTGCTAATTAAGTTTGGTGTGTGTGGAGATGGAGTTTGTGCCACATTAGTAGCAGGGTGTATATTGAGTAACTGGACTGTGGGCTTAAGGTAGTTACCTGCAAAAGTTGAGTTGAATAATTCACACATGTCTGCGGAATTAGTACATAGCCTACCTTTGTCTATGAGGAGAGAAATGCTGTGTTTTTTGCGATTCATTCGCTTCTTTAAGATTTCCGTGAGTGCATACACTCTAGCAGGACTGGCTACTGCGATGCGTTCTTCGTTTCTCATACGGAAATTTCGAGCTTGTGAGATGGAACTAAGGGTGTTAAGTATTAAACCTAGTGTGCCAAAGTCGTGGTGTTTGAAGTAACTTGTTGAGAGTTTCTTCAGTTTCATACGATCCTTTGGTTTTATGAATGACTTCCTATGTGGGGACAGCTCAAGTGTTTGCAGTGGAATGACAGCATCTAAGCATGTGTTCGAGTTATGGTAGAAGATGCTCAGAGCTCTCGAGAGGTCATCAGTAGTGAAGTATTCGCTCCATTCGGAGGATCTTAGCACTGATTCTACTAAGGTCCAGTTTGCCTTACTATAGTTCCTATATAGTACTTGTTGTGAAGTGGAGGTATGAGCTGCATTGCTATTCAGTGGAAGTGGCAGAGCACACATTACTGTTTTGTGGTCACTACCTGAAAACTTAGAACCCACTAAGATTGAGAGGGGGCTTATATCGTGACAGAATATTAAGTCTAGTACATTGTCACCTCTTGTAGGGATAGTGACAGTTTGTTTCCAGCCGAAGATGTCCAGTGTCCCTAAGAGCTTGTCGTATTTAGTTGGCCCTTTTAATAAGTCCCAGTTGATTTCGGGTAGGTTGAAGTCTCCACATATGATCTTATGCTCGTATGGAAGAGTGGATACTTGCTCCAGTACATTTATAAGTTGTGTCTCGTAATCACTAAAGGTGCCAGGTGCTCTGTAGATACATCCTATTAGTAGTGTAGCACTTTTGAAGTGTACGTTGACCCACAGGGTGTCGTGCATGTCATTGAGTTCCTTATTTTCTAGCTGTAATACAGTAAGTGTGTTCAGGAAGTACATTAGACAGCCTCCTCCCTTACCACTCTTCCTGTCACAGCGAAAGTGTATGTACCCTTCGATGCTTATCTCTTCGTCTGGTATATTGGAGTGACACCAGGATTCCGTAATAATGATTATAGGGGGTTTGTATACCAGCGTGTGTGCCCTGAGCATCGGTAGTTTGTTAAGGATAGATCTAGCATTAATAAGTATTAAGTAGAGTTGAGATTTGAAGTAGTGTTTGAAGTGTTTAAGCTCGTCAATAAGGTTCAAGTGTGGATCGGCATCCGCTGTTTCCGCGTGGCATATCAACCCTGTGTTGCAACCAGTTTGTCCACCTATGTCTGTCAAGTTACTATCCATCTTTTTTAGTGGGTAATAGGTTTGATTATTAGATAAACTATACAATGACGTGGTTCTAGGCTTGGGTAGGTTGGAGACTTGGGTTGAGGTTTTCATTTGGCTTATGCTTGTGCAGTCTTTGGGTGTGACTAATAGTTCCGTGTGTACTAGCCCATGTCTGTTTTCTTCCCGATAGGGGGCCGACGTTAGTGGTACGGGTTCAGAAGGGTTAACATCCCCACCAGCTGTTTGGTTAGCGCTGACAGGGATGTGTTGGATAAAAAATCATTGGTACCTTGTGATACCCATGACTTGTTAATCTGCCTACTGTGTGTGGACATTCCAAGAGACCTTACATGGGTGTCGTTATGTGCGTAGCTGCACTGTGGTTTGTTTCCCAGAAGGCTTGTTCCGTATAATCTGCCAAAGTTAGTTTGTATGTCATGCCTGGTGGCTGAGTTCCGAGTGTTGTCACTTTTACTACTTTGCGTGATAGCGTCACTACACCAGCTACCAGTGTGACTTGGCACAGTATGCAAGTAGGTTGTGTCGTTGTTGTCCTTGGGCTCTATGTCCTTATTTTTGTTTTTAGTTTGGTTGCTAGCATGGTTTTGAATATTATTTACCTTAAAGCGTGAGATATTCTTGGGAGTCTGAATATGTTGGGGAATCTTCGCAACAAGTGGCGTATTTCGGCCTGTTTTGTTACCGAGTTCCATTTGCGTTGTCACGTTTTGGTTAGGAGAGGATGTTGTCAGCTTACAAGAGGGATTGATTACCATCTTATGGCTGTCCATAGACATATCTAGATCCACCGTAGAGGGAGGAGAGGTTACTTTAGGAGTAAGACTATAGCTCACAAGTCTTTCGTTTGGTTTCATTTTCTCTGGAGCTATTTTTACGGGATTAGAGAGGGGGGAAGCTATGAGTTCTACCGTGTTGGTAGTGTGTATATCTATTTTAGTGGCTTGAGGTGTCCTGCCATTTGGTTTATTAAGGTGATTGTAAGCACGCCTTTCAATCACTGTCTTATCTGCTACAACTTTTACCTGTTTGTAGCTTGTGTCCTGTAATAGGATACGTTGTGTGTTGGTGAATTTTTTAGCCTCTGTCTGCGTTTCGAACTGAAGGCGTATAGGACAGCAGTGGTCGTGCTGACTCTTCTTCAGTCTGTGACATTTTGTTTGGGAGTTAGGCATTTTCGCCGCCCTAAGTAAGATGCTTTGAACCTTTTTCAACCCCTCATTATCCGGTATATTGTAGATAATCACACTTAGTTTAGTATCAAGTCTTTTGATAACCTCTGTTGTGATGAAGTTTATCAAGGTGTCTATCTTAGATACTGATTCTGTGTCAAGTTCGCCAGGGTTTATGGTCTTAGTCAAGATGTTCAGAGGGGCAAGTTCACAGACCTGTGATTTTATATCACCAACCTGTGTTGATAGTTCAGATAAGTTGGCCAAATTTTCTGAAAATCCTGCATTCATATCTTTTCTACACCTTATGTCCCGCATCTCAGTCTTCAGTTCTTCTATAGACAGTTTTAGTCGTTCTATTTCTGAAGTAAGTGTTGGAGCTGGACTTGGAATCTGAAGTTTTGTGACACGTACATAGGGTGAAGTGAAGAGGTTTATGTCAGGACCAAGTGCTGAGTTTGTAGAAGCGTTGCTACTGCTGTTTGTCAGCAAGTTTTCGCCCTCAGTTTCAGCCACAGTAGATGGTAGTGAACCGGCAGCTCGACGCTTGCGGCGTATTGGCAAGCTGTGTGCCTCATTTCCATACTTTGTGGGAGTTGTGCTGCTCGTCGTTGCGAGCATATTTATACTATTAGTAATCACGTTGACAGGTGACTGAGTTCGTGGCTTTTTTGTATGACTAACCATAACTAATTGGTGAAAGAGTTATTGGTTAAATTTATGGAACTGGAGAAACACTTGTGCGAGTCTCACAGTTAAAATAGAAATATATAGCGAATCAAGCTAAAATGTAACGCAAACGTTGAACGTACCGCTACTTAATTCTACTGTGTTTGTATGCGAAATGTTTGGGATCGTTAAAGGCTTTAAGTGAGGCTTCGAGATTAAGTAAGAGCAACTTTTCCATAGCTCTTAGAAAAGAAGGGGCAATAGCAATGTGTCTAAATTTAAAACATATTGCAGTAGACGGCTTAGCTATAGGCACAATTTGAATTTCCTCCCAAACGAATGGCACGACATTTTTAGAAAAAGATTCGTTGAATATGCCCATGAGAGGATAACACATGATATCTGCACACTTTTTAAGAATAACACTAGGCAAACCATCTGGACTCAGGCTACAAGAAGGGTTCAGAGACTGGAGACATTTTAGAACATCATTTGTAGTAAAACCAGGGAAGCAGGTTTCACTAACACTTGTAACACTAGAAAGTTTGGCATTTGTGGGAGAATGTATGAAGGACTTGATTAGTGTGCAGACACCAAGGGAATAAGGAATACTGTTCATCTGCTTACCACCAGTAATTTCTTCGAAGAGTTTCCATATATTAGAGGCATTTATACGGGATATATACTTTTGGTTGTAAATTGAATTCAATCTGTGCATTTCAGACTCTATCAGGATGTTAATTCTTTTCAAACTAGTGTTATCCTTCATTTTATATAACTTTGCTTTTTGTCTGCGAAGATTTTTAAGTTGAGGGGAGGAGAAAAGATCAAATCTGATGAAGAGCGTTTCTCTGGGACACCAGGTATCAAGACAAAATTTGAGATAACTTGTAATATTAGAGATTGTGTCATCAAGAGAGTCTTCATTAAACAAGTCCCACCTTGTGTCTTTGAGCATGACTCTAAGATTCTTAACATTCTCTTTAGAATAAGATCCATGTACAATTTTCTGGTAAGGTGTGAAAAAGTTCTCTTGTGTAACTTTCCGTAGAATTTGGGTGAAACCCGTACAATACAATGATTTGAGTTAAACAGTGGGGCTCTTTTACGAGCTTCGTATACTCTGCAGTCATTCCGCAGTCATATAAATACAAGATGAAGAGAATTATCCAGTCTGGTGGGAAAGTTAACAACATATTCATGACCTATCACTGTGAGAAAGCTGCAGTCACATGAATTAAAATCACCTGTCACTATGGACAGGGAGTTACCAAAAGAGGCGGCAGCGAAAATAGTGAATTCATCAGCAAACATAGATAATTCTGAAGTGGGATATAAATATACGTGATATAAATGAATTTGTATTTAGATAGGTGTTCAGGTCGACATTTGACAGTTATACAGTCAATATTATCATTTGAGAATTTGAAACAGACGTTGTTGGCGACAGTAACTGACAATTGATAAAAGTAGCAACACCACCTCGCTTCTTCCTTGAACTACTTCGGTCTTGTCTGTATATACTGAAACCATTTAGCAAGATTAAATAATAATAATTTATATTTTCATATAAACATAAATTTACATGAAAATGCATGCCATTTTTACAGTCACGATCAAGAATGATACAATGTCAAATAGTAGATTGTCTACAAGTTAGTAATGTTTGAACAGCTAAATATTTGATATATGTATAAATACACTCTTTGTCTGACCCATGTCGTATCATTATTGAATTAAACAGTAGTCCTCCAGGTTGCGCGGGAAAATCGACTTCATTTCGTTTTCAACCCGTAGTTGTAGGCATACGATAACCAACCAATATTGAGGTAAGTACAACGTTTACAAGGGATAGTAAGCTGTTTTAGAAAAGTAAAGATGCTAAGGTGAATCATTAAAGTGTAATGAAATAGGTAAATGCAATGTATCATTAATATATGCATTCATAAGGGAAGTACAATGGGAGACTATAATCCCTAGACTGACAAAGTTCCTTTGCAATGTATAATGCTACCCTATAGGTTTTACTATCATGTTGTCCACTTTTGGTTTAATACAATTATCCACAAGCCGGTTGTTTTAATTTCATACCTTTTTGTGTTTGGTGCACAACCGTACCCTATAGAGAATAGGAATAAAATAAGTCGAATCAAATTCATAAAGAGCTATAAAATGTTAGGTTTAGTGGAATATAATGAGCAAGTGAAGACGTTATTAGAAAATGTATGAGATGAGACATTGTTAAGTGATATTCGTAGATACGACAAAGGAAAGCATGTCACTTTATAAGATGCCCCATAAATCTGTGCAGAGCCCACGTGGTAACACACACGTGTAACACAAATATCTGGGAAAAAAGGCTTGAAGTCAATTCTCCTATATAACTTTGTTGTGAACAGTATCCTTGAGTCAGTGATGTATTTATTCCATTTTTTCAGCAGTCTAATCGTAGTTTTATAATAGGAAAGAAATTTGATCGTGGATGCGAAAACTAGATAAGGTCATGTTGGATTGTTTTACTGCATAAAATGGGGCTGAGGTCGATTCGAGAACTATCCATTGGAGCCATTTGTGTCAGCATGGCAGACTGTACATGTAAGTTGTGTAGTTCATTGAAAACTGTTTGAAAACCAGTTACTTCTTTATTTCACATCAAGAATACTCCTTGTACAGAATGCTGGCCAGCGTTTTCAAATGGTAGCATCGGAACGTTCATGGAATTTGAGTTTGAATTTACTTAAATGGTCATTTCAGTTTAAATGTTGGGTTGTTCGACCTCGAGCAGGAGGCATATAGAAGAGTTCGCTCAGCAGCAGAATAGCAGAAAGATAAAGTATGTAAAAATGAAGGAAACATTAATATTTTATGTATATATAAATGTTTATAAATGTATATCATTGTATAGTAAACATTACCTATAATCTAGTTGTTTTTTCATGTGTTATTGCGAAGTCTTAGAGTTTATTTAGTGTCGTAATATTTAGTAATGAGTCTAGGCGTTATAGTGTTCTAATAGCTGATGCGTTTTTAGAAATAAGTGGTGCGGTCTGATTGGCATAGTCATTGGGATGAAACAGTTTATATAGCAAGCGTTTGAAGGTTATAGTAGAGTGACAGATCCTTATTTCTAGGGGTAAACTGTTCCAGATCTTACAGTACATGACTATGAAGAAGTTTGCACGGAGTGCTGTTTTACAGTTTTTCCTAGATACTGTCGTGGTGAGAGCTGTCTACTAGCCAAATTGGTAGACAGTAATTTACCGCAATGTTTACGTTCCCAAGATTTGTCGTGAGAAAATGTGAACAAAGATTGATTCAAAACCGACCACAGCAGACTTTGCGTAGGTGGATGCAGTTAACATATAGATGATTTGACATTCAAGAAACAGTCACAAAGAGATGAAAGATTAATTTTAAGTGAGAAACAACCAATCGGAAGACTGTGTTTGTTCGCTTAACTATCCATAATAATGTACATGAAAATATATAAATATGCGTTGATTTCCTTAATAAATGATCTGTTGCCTGACTCTTGCTTTCTGTCTTTACACTGTGCACGTTTGGTTACAAAGGTTGTAAGAGCCTTCCGGTGAGAACTGTATCTCCTTACTGTCTGGGAATGATATTTTATGCAAGATTTTAAAGAAGAATGTTAGGTTAATGCTCAGTCATCTCATCCAGAGTGGGTCGATACCTAGAGTTATACACCTTGATGTGTGGTCCTTTTCGCAGTCAAATCCTAGTAGTTTAGACGTGAAGTATCGTTGGACACTTTCTATTTTAATTTTGTCACTTACGCGAGTGCTGCTGAGAATAAATGGACAATATTCTAGTAGTGATTTGACACAAGTTTTATATAATAATAGTTTCGCTTCGTAGTTGTGGAGATTCCTGAGTATGCATCCTGAGAGCATCCTCGATTTACGCATCTGTGTCGCCACTTGCTCAGAAAATGTTAGGTCACTAGAGTACCTCAGACCTAGGTCAACAACACTTTGGAGTTTAGGCAAGTCAATAGATTCAAGTACCAGTTTGATATTTATTGAGGGTGCACCGAAACAGATCCAACCACATTTTTAAGGTTGAATTTGAGGTTCCATGTGGAGGACCATGCAGTTACTCTATCTAGTTCTTCCTGAACAGCTTTCTGAAAGTATCCTAAGTCATCACATTGGAATGTGTAAGCTACTTTAAGATCATCTGCAAAGATGAATGGTTTACCAAGTGAGAAACAGCTGTATATGTCGTTGACATATAGAGTGAATAGAAGGGGTCCAATGACGCTACCTTGAACTAATCCAGAAGTGACTGGACTGGGCTTAGAATTTACAGACCCCAGTCTAACTACTTGGGACCTATTGTTAAGGAATGAGTCAATCCATCCTAATAATGGGTTACGTATTCCTAAGGAGTTCAGCTTATTTATTAGAAGCAAATGGTCAACGTGGTCAAAGGCTTTGGATATGTCGAAGTAGATGACTAGTACTAGTTGTTGTTTGTCTCGGCTACTAGTTATATAGTTGAAGAAGTCAAGGTGACATGTCATGCATGATCTGGATTTTAGGAATCCATGTTGGTTGGGACTTAGAATATTGCAGCTGAGCATATGTTTGACAATATCATCTTTAACTATTCTTTCAATGATTCTAGATACTATGGGTGTAATATTGGTTGGGCTGTAGTTGTTGACTTCAGTTTTTGATCCGGATTTGTGTTTGGGTATTATATATGTGGTTTTCCATTTATCTGGATAGGTTTGGCTTTCTAGGGACATTGTAAAGATCTTAAGTAATAAAACGGAAATGTCAGAACCACCGTGTTTATAAAGATACGATGGTATACCGTCAAAACCGGCACTACTAGAGCTTTTAAGAGTATTAACGGCTTGGTTAATATTAGATTAAGTGAAATGAACTGTAGTGATTTGTTTCAGCGTTGAAGATGAAGGGAGTTCTATTTTAGATTGTAAACCGAGAAGTGGACTTGTAGGCTTAAGGTAGTTAGCTGCAAACGTCTCGTTAAACAGTTCACACATGTCTGCATGGTTGCTGTATAGTTTACCCTTGTTTATAATGAGAGAAATTTTATGGCTTTGGCGATTCATTCGTTTCTTTAGGATTTCTGTGAGGGCTCCTACTCTGGTG